GTTGAAGTGCGTGGACAGCAGCTTTATGACCAAGGTCCAATTCATGACGAGAGAGCACTTTTTACCGCTAGTGGCATATAGTCGCTTCCTCGAGCCCACCGTGCAGAAACAAGCGCCCAGCTCCTTCAAGCCGCTAGATCCTACACTGCCAGTGTTGCCAAGACCCACCCCGCTCTGTTTCTGATTGGCTAGTAAAGTTGGTTAGATTCACTGTCTGGTTAGGTTGAGAGCGAGAGTTGCGTTCCTCTCGTACCATTGGTAGGTGAACTTTATTACCTCGAACATGATAAACCGCATCCACAACAAATTCCCAAGTGTATTGACTTTTCTTTTTTTTTCTCACAGCGGAGCTGGAGATCCGGCACGGTGCCAGAATACTTTAAGCCCTGAACAAATTCCAACAACATATTAAGAAAATGACATGCTTTGGGGAAAGATTTTTTGTTAAATGGATTAGATTAACTGAATTTCAATAATGTGCTGTCAGGCAGAGGGATGACCATTTAGAGGACTTTCAATCCTCATCTACTTAGTTAAGTTAAGTTATCAATTTTTGGATGGATGAGAATACAAGCAGGTCTTACTGCATCATCTTAGCTAAGATTAAAGAAGAACTGGCTGTTTAGGAAATGTTTTTGTTCATACCCATCTAGCTATGTTCAGACCAATAGCCAGATGAGTTTCACTTACAATTTCACCTCTATGGATCCAGTTGAGAGGTCTGGAACACATTTTGACCAGCATAGAACAAAGATTATAAAGCAGGGGGAACCAATAAGCTTAAATTCTGTCAAAAGGTCAAAAATGACTACTTCAAATCTACTTTAAACTGTATCATTCTTTAGCTAGCAGGCTAATTTCCAATAAGTCAAAGCTTCACGTGTCTTTTGTCGAGTTACCACAGTGCACAAAGCCACGAACTTCAATGGACATGCAAGATGCTGTGTGCAGTCAGAGCACAGCAGCTGTTTGTCAAGACATAGCTCCAATGTAAAAAAAAAAACGTGTATATACAGGAAGCTAGTGTATGATGTGCACCAGCGAATTCATGTTTGAATTTGCATGAGTCTGCAAGTGTAATGTGATACACATCATTTCTACAGCTCTGAAAGACATTACAATTTGTACCAAATAAAGTTATATTAGTTTAGTTTAGTTTCCTCACTCTCCCACTCATGCACAGCCACCGTCTTTCTTGCCCTACGAAACTTATCAGGATGCAAAAAAAAAATCCCCCACATTGGCCAAAATGTGAGCAATAATCTTACTGAAAAGAACGTGCATGAGCAAAACCACACACAACTACATAAAAGCAAAAAAAATTCTGTGAAATTTGCGCAAGTTCACTCAGGAAGTACTTGCTAAATAACAGAGTTATCACTGAATCCTTAAGCGGTATTTTACCTTTACCATCCTGGTTAGTAAAATATGCTCACATATTCAAACATAATGTCCTCTCTGACTTGAAGCATGCATCTATGCATGCAGGAGAATATGAATCCTGGCATTAAACCTTTTTGCAATCTGCAGATATCAATATTGTTGGAGCAGTTCTCAGTAACTGGACAAGATAAATGAATCAATAGGACTTTATTTAATTATTTTTGCCGATTATACATTTAACCACGGTGAAGGAAGACAAGAAGGAAAGAAGTCAGCTGCCTACCTCAGAGAACTTGTCAGCCACCATGTAGCGGACCCTCCAGGACTTGTCCTCTGCAGCCTGGCGCAGGGTTGGCATCACCAAGGTCTCCAGGTCCTCCTGAGGCAGCAGTGTGGCAATGCTGACACAAGCCTCCACTGCAAGCAGCCGGACTGAGTCCTAATGGAAAAAGGTATTGGGATCAGTTTGCCCATCCCTGGGTTTAAATGCCAAGGACTTAGAGGACACAGTATTACACACAGTGCAACAGCAGTTTAGGTTGAAAGGAAGGAATACAAGTGCTCATACCTGCTCATCAGAAGCCAGAGCAGTGAAGAGGGAAATAATGTCACTTTTTACATAATCGAGCTCCAGGACTTTAGCAAACTCCCCCAGTTTAGATGCTGCAGCACGACGCACCATAGGAGTGTCATCTGAACACAAGGTGCGAAAATGCCTAGAGATAAAACCACAGACATTTTATCAAACAAACAAGTGACTGCAGAACAAAACCAGATTAGAAGCCTAAAGCAATTACCTCATGTCTACATTAAATTACATGTCATCATACATAACTTCAAATAAGGATTTAGAGCACTCTAAAATTGTTTCCCTTTTTTAAGAAGCCACTTACTGACGGATCTCAGCCTTGACAGTGCTGGAGACACGGGGATAACAGACACTAAAGAGGCCACAGGCAGATGTGCGAGAAGTGAACCAGTCACCACTGGCCAGCCGCTTGACCAAAGGCTCAAAATGGACCTCCAGGTCAACTGGAGAGTGCTCCTGAGAGATCTTCCGCAGTGACTCCACAGCTTTGTCTCTGACTACCGTTTCTTCCACTGTAGCTAGGCTCTCCAGAGGAGGCTGTGTATTAAGAACGGACCAGGTTACAGAGGGAAATGGTTCTGCAAGTACTCACACATACAAGAAATTATGATGTTTATGTAGATTTGGATACTTCAAAAAGTTTTATTTAAAAAGGTAAAGGACAATACTCAATACACAAATATTTAACATTTTCCATCAGTAATGTTACAATATTTTAGGTTTGAGTAATCTATAGATGGGCATTATAGTGTATTTATGGTTGGAAGACTTTAGTAGTCTAATCTAACCATAGTAGTATAATTAAATTTCAAAGCAATTACAGTTGTCTGTGTTTACAATTGGCCTCACAGGTTATGCTGCTGCCAACAAACTTTATAAGCTACTATACACACACAAAAGTTGTATCCTTGCATTACATAACACATTCAACAATTACAATAAACATGGTTGTTGAAAACAGCGACTTCTCACAGGACTTTTAAGGTTTTCTTTATCTGACTAAAAGCAAGGCGAAATATCTCCATAGTAAACATATATGTACATAAACCCTCCAGTAACTTGGATGCCACTAAACTTACCAGGAGACAGTGGACATACTCAGGCCCTCCCACCAACATAGTGAAATTTCCAAGCTGCTCAGCCAAGGCCAGGAGCACTTCGTCTTCATCATAGATAGTGTCTAAAAGGTGACAAAAAGACTTGTGAAACGTCTGAAAGAATTTAAGTTCTTAAAATGCAACACTGAGGTCATGCTGATTGTGTCAGACATCAGGTGTTTCTGTTTTATGGTCAAGGTGATTCATTTAATTACCTGTGAGGAAGGGAAGGAGTTCAGTGCGAGTCCTCTCTACTCCAAGGGCCAGAGCAATTGTGGACAGTTTTTTGATGCTGTTCAGTCGTAACTAGACACAAAATGGACACAACGTTAACTGAGTTAAAAGCACATTTAATATCCAGTGTCAATTAATACGCATCATTACACTTTGCTACCCCATATAGAAATTACCAGAAAGTATTTGTTACTAACTAGGCTACGGCTCGCGTCATTAATATCTTACGTAAGTTAACCAGCGTTTCAAATAGCGATGCGAACTATGTGGCTGAAATGAAACGCTAGTTTTGCATTAATTTGCAAGGAATAAAAAGCTAACAACAGTGAGCTCTGCCCACTGCGGCCTTGAACGCCCTGTTGTTGTGATTGCTAACTGTAACGCTAGGCACTTCGCTAGCACACTGCTAGCTATTAGCGAGCTAAACCAATGACCCGGTTGGCTTGGCTCGTCTTACCCAATTCATTTTATTACATTCATAGTTCAGCTGATTTAAGCAACGGTCTGAAGAAAATTATAATAAACGACACTCCAGATTGACCATTAACGTCGTAAATGCTGACAAACAACCAGCTAGTTTGGTGAAACAGGGTGCGCCCGGCAGAAAATTCCTGATAGGCCTTGGCCGGGAACGTCACCTAGCATATTTGCTAGTTAGCTATCACACTTACTAATATGTCAAAATTCATCTTATTTAGCTGTAAAATATAAATGGCAATAAAAACCGAAAATGTTGTTACTACCTGAACATCCTCATTTCGCAGTTCATCAATAAGAACGGCGATAGGGTAGAGAGAGTCGTCTCCATCAGCTCCTGCCATTTTGGATACTGTTGCAGTTACCGAATGGCGCTGCTGTGCTGCACTACGGGGTTTCTGCCAGAGAACAGCGGCTGCAGGGCCCTCCCTCCTTCTATGCCGCGCTGTTGTTGCCTTCAAGGAACCACCGACAAACCTGTCCATAAACAACCCTCGGTCAACAGGCTACGTCATTAAAGATGAAATAAAACAAACGAAATACTTGATGAAAAATAAAAGTAGTTAGATAAACAAAACGTTTAATGACATACAAATCAGCAAAGTGTTCAATAAAGTCACCCCATGACAGAAATGAAATAAGATATTTTTTATAATATTTGTAATTTTACTGTGCAAGCAAATACGTAGATAAGATACTGATTCAAGGGAGATAGAGAAATGCGAGTTTTCATGTGACTAAAATGCTTTCTTAATTTTTCGCTTAGCTTAGATGACTAGACTATTTGCAATGAATAAAAAATCGAAAATATTATCTTATGCAGCGTATATAATTTATGAGGCATAACTGACTCAACTTTATTGTAATTTTACAACACATAAGTGTACAGTGAAAATCAGTGGTAGACCTTAGTACATGCTACACACGGAAAATGTATAATAAAACAAAGAATCTAAATTAAAATAGAATGAAAATAGAAACTGTATGTAGGTTTAAGAAAAAATAAAGAGTAAGGTATAATAGGGCTGAAGACAAAGGCTACATTGTATTTAAAAAGAAAATATACAGAGAGAGAGAGACACATGTTAACATGTACAATAAAATTCGTGCTAAAAATAAAAATAAAACGCCTTGAAGTTTATAATACATCCATGTTCAAGACACGCTTTTATTTTGAAAAAAAAACCAAACCGGATATTTTACGATTTTTCCGGCGTGTGCGTCGGTGCTGGTCAAGATGGCTTCTCAGCAACAACAACCCGGCGGGCCGATGTCTCAGCCCGGATTACAACAGCCCACTTCCATTCAACAACAGCAGCAGCAGTTGAGTCAACAGCAAGACTTTGATCCAGTTCATAGATTTAAGATGCTCATTCCACAGCTGAAGGAGAGTCTGCAGGTAACTATGCTGAATCAAGCTACAAACTAAAATCGAAAATGCCCAAAAGATGGTCACAATAGCTAAAGTTGAGTTGTGACTGTTTTGGATTCCACAGTCCCAATACTGTAGCTTCATAAATAAATAAAGATCTGCAACAGTGTACTTTGAACATATTGCCATATTTTTCCCTTTCAGAATGTCATGAAGATTGCATCCTTGAATTTAGCCCATAACACGGCCATTGACAACGGAATGTGAGTAAGCAGGTTGGGGCAACTTTACAGCACTGCTCCATTACAGAGGATGCTTCCGATATTCACTGTGACTGTGCTTCTCTGTTTTAGCAAAAGCAGCGACGCCTCTGTTCAGCGCTTCGACAAAAGCCTGGAGGAGTTTTATGCCCTTTGTGATCAACTGGAGCTGTGTTTGGTAAGACCATAGATATATAGTGTACTTAATGGATTCCAAAGGGAAATTGTAATTGTAATATACTATAAAACACTGTACATAAGTATAAATGAAAACACTGAAGGTTAAACACTCATATTCACAAATAACCAAACATTGTCTGAAATTAGAATATTTGCTTTTATTGCTACATTTAATAGGTGACAGGAGTGTCCTTCTTCCTGCCAGCCCTAACTTAAAAGCAGTATTTAACCTAAGTCTAACCTTAAATCTTTGTGCTTGTTGCATATTCAAAAACCTTTAAGTGAACATATAGATGAATAGAGCCTTTCTATAAGATAGAAACAAATGCAAAGATGTGGATGTAAACTGACATATAACGCTGAGAAATGCATCAAGATAAGGCTAAACATGAGTGAAGTTGTACTTTAACAGAATATTAATGTTTTTGAGTCTGTTGTCTAAATGTTGTTCAGACTAAAACCTTAACATGTAGCCCATGTATGTGACACACATATCACATACAACAGCTACACTCAAAATGGACTACACATTTTAAATGTTTTCTCTCCTCTGTGCAGAGGCTGGCGTATGAGTGCCTTTCTCAGAGCATTGACAGTGCCAAACACTCACCCAACCTGGTCCCAACAGCCACCAAGCCAGACACAGTGCAGACAGAATCCATGTCTTACGCCCAGTACCTCGGTATGATCAAGTCTCAGATCTCCTGCGCCAAAGATATCCACAATGCTTTGCTGGAGTGTTCCAAGAAGATCGCAGGAAAGGGACAGCCTCAGGGACTCATGTAGACCTGCACTGACTGTTCCGACTCTTCTCTGAATCTGATGACTGTTTTGAGAAAGATGATGGATTTCATATTTGGGGCTTTCCCATGTTCAGATCTCAGTTTTGCGCTACTTTGCTCAAGATGCTGTTTCATTTCTCAAGATCTTGTGTATTTAGTTTTGATTTTTTTTTTAATTTATGTTTCTTTGTAAGTGCTGTGTAAATATTCCAGACAAAAAGTCATGTTCTGAGATGACCAGCAGGTGGTGGCAGAGCTGTACTTGCCACCTCGATATTCACAGGTCTTTTGTAGCTTATTTGTATTGAACATTAAAACCTTTCTACAGATATTGATGTTTCCTCATTATTCAAGATGTACAAAAGAAGACTGCTCTATCAATAACATCTTTAACTGATGAGGAGTATTCATAAGAGCAAAACTTCATCAGTTGTTTATGCAGGTACTTTACTGACAATAAAAGATATTGGAAATATCAAAGAAAATCTGTAGCTGAATTTACTTTGTTCTAAGTTGTGAAGAATATTGTTTTCATCTTTCAGGTGAATTACCTTATTGTTTTAATTTGACCATTTTATCTTATTTGACTGCAATGAAGTTTAACAAGATTGAACACTAGGAGAAGTAAAAGGGAAGAAAATGTCAGACTTTGACTCAAAATTTAGAGAGGCAGTAGAATAAAGTGTCTTTTCAATAGAAACAGTCAGATGGATTGAGTAATAGCTGAGCTCTTTATCCTTGGAGGATCCTCTAAAAGAAGGATCGTATTTAACTCCTATTGAAGCAGTGGTGTTGGTATAGTGAGGCAACAGAATAGTAGCCTGGTAACACCTAGGGGAATTTAAAGAGTACACAGAGTAAACCTTTTGACGGGGTAGGTGTCGTTAAGCGATAGTGCAGTCCCTTTACAAAGAGTCATACACTTACAAGTCTTGTTATAAGTTTAAATGCCTCCTTTTTCTCCCATGAATGACCCATTTCATTCTCCCCCCAGTCAAATGACAAGTGAGAGGTAAGTTTAACCACTAAGTTAATTTTCAACACCCTGAGATGGTCTTTTGAATGGCTCAATCTTCCATGTTACATAAACATACTAAGGAGAAAGGAAACATAACACTAATCACACTCTGGCCTCTGTGCTCTGTATTCCTGGACTGAATGAGACACAGCTTACACTTGGATCCTTGTTGAGCTATATATTGGTCAGAGGCTCCTAGATATCCTATCATATGTTGAAGCTAAGGGATTAATGAAGTCTGATACACAAGCACGTGAGTGGTGAGCCTGGTGGGCTTGCAGCTGTGTAACATCTCAGACCAATCTGAGCTACTGACAAGCGCTTAGATCCAAAAATACTACCCTGGGTCACTACCAAACAGGCACACTAAAAGGCTCATCACAATGCAGGCTCACACTCATAAACCCTTTCAAGGCATACACTAACATACAAAAAGTATAAGTAAAACTTATTCAGCATTTTTAAGTTGTGACTTGTGAGTTGTGTGATCTGTTCTTCCTCTTTAGCAAATATTAAGGTGAACTAGCTTTGGGACTGATTAAAAAAACAAAACACCAAATTAATCATCATGTTATCACATTTTTATTTTCAGACAATAGTCTGTGTTGACACAGGACTTTTTTTTTTTAAAACCTTGAAAAAATATACAAGAACAAAGCTTGAATTATTGAGAATAATCCAGACATTGTCAAGAGTTTGTACCGTGCTGCACAGAGTTCATTCGATGAAAAACAACAGAAACCAAAGTAACAATATAAAAAGGGAAGAGTATTATTTTTCTTTTTACAAAGATTACAGCAGATATAATACATATATCTAGAACATCAGGTACCAGACAATACAATTACAAAAAGGCAATTTAGACATTGTCTCAGTGCATTAGTGTATCTCAAACAGTCAATAACTCACTAATTTTGTGGCTTGTTGCAGGATGAAAATGACATAATGTGAGAAACAGATGAAATCATCAGAATACCTTACATAGAGTAAATTCTATTCCCCTGGTGCAAAATGATATAAATTAATTTCTCTTTGACTGTTAATGTGTTATCATATAAGTGCTGCCTATGGCCTCACATATTAATGTATTTCTTACATTGAGATTATTTTTATGTGTTTCAACTTCACTACAACCACAGGAATACTTCTGACCCCTTTAGTTTCCTGGTTGATATGAGGGGTTTAAGGACCCTTTGTACCTTTATTGTAATGTTCTTATGAGTGTATAAAAAGTATTAATATTGTAAAAGTATTATACCACTGGTTTTGTATATTCTACGGCCAACACACTACAAATTATGTATTTGTCACATTCCTGTCAACCATTCTCCAAGCAATACCATAGGATTTTAGTTTTATTACTGCCTTGCTCAACCTCATATGCCTTGTGATCTTAATGTTTTAAACTCAAGTGTGAGCTGTGCTAAGATTCAAAATATTAACAGTGAGATGGGAGGAGTAATCTTATCCCTGAAACAGCAGAATAAATGTCCACTGTAATAGGGCAGCTGTCTTCAGCGGGTCTCAATTCTCAGCAAATTGTTTTTCATTTTGTGCAGTATGCTTTAGAAAACGGGCAGCAGTAATGTAAAATGTATAGTCTCTTAAATATTTCAGAATCTGGGTCAGTAACTCCTGATTCTATCTATCTTGTTAATGAAACTAGTGTGTGTGTGTGTGTGTGTGTGTGTGTGTGTGTGTGTGTGTGTGTGTGTGTGTGTGTGTGTGTGTGTGTGTGTCTGGATACAGAGCACCAGAGTGTACTGTAAGATGCTTAAAAAGACTTTAATAAGCACACAAACAGATGGTTTTACTGCTTTGTTGAGTCCGAGCCTTTCATGTTGCTTTTACCCTCAGCCCTGCCCTTTGATTGGTCTCTGTGGAAGATATTAAACAAAGTAAATAATCACAGTTCAAAAGTTTAAATAATTGTAGTATCGTAACATGAGAACAATACACTCATACTGTATGTGTCTGCTGTCAGTGTCTCCCACTTGTTTGTCATTTGATCCTGATCTGCAGATTCTGGCCTGTCTTCAACACTACATGTGGGCTGAGGATATCATACTGACCTTTGGGCCTGCTCAGGACTGGTGAGGGCTGCCCAGCGAACAGCACGGGGTCGGGCTTCCTCCAGGCGAGACATGGGGCCAGATGGTTGGAACTTTGACACCTCCTGCTGCCACTCATCGTCAAAAGACTGTGCTTCAGCTGCGGGTGGAGGATCAGGATCATATTAGGCAACATTCTGGCTGTGGACTGATGGCCTAGAAATACCTGGACAGTAGACCTTAGAGTGGAACAATGGTGTGTTCAACTGCCTGGTCTACTTAACGAATGCACTGAACATGTATGATCTGATCACACACTATTGCACTGAGTGAGTTAGACATATTGGAAAAGCTAAATCCAGTATTTACTGTCTTTCACTGTTGTCTTGGTTTTGAAATATAGGAAATCTCTACATAATTTGACTGTCAAAATGAGAAACTGAAATGTCAGATTTCTTCCAGAATAATCTCTGAAATTGCTCCTTCATGCATTCACGTTTTTGAGTAGTGCAACAAATATGGTTGGATCCTCTACATTTATGGAGCAATCATGCGTAGCCACTGCAACGACTCAAAGCACTTGATCGCTTTAACGTACATTCATCCAAATTCTGAAAATCCTGGTTGAACTCCTTCTCTCCTGTTTTCTTGTTATATTTCTTCTCAACAACATGTCCCCTGTCCTGGATGTGGTGACCAATTGACATCTTCTCCAGACCACTCTCGGAGTCTTTAATTGCTTGCCGGGTCTCCTTGATCTGGTGATAAAACATCATTGTTATGTTCAGAAGAACAGAGCACCTGTGACAAAAGTTATTATCACTCAAGAAGGACAAAGTGAACAAGTCTTCTACAAACATATTTACTTCTACAAGCTCAGTGTATTGAACTATGCTCTAATGTACTGTGTTATAATACAGTAACACATCTGATGGCATACTTACCCCTCCAGGGGCACGGCGTGTTGATGAGGTCGCCTGGAAGACCTTAGGAGCCTCATTTCCAACCTTTGAATATGTCATGACTGATGAGGAGCTGAATGAGTGGGTGTTTGAATCTGTGGGCATGTTCTCCTGAAAAGCGCGCACACACACACACACACACACACACACACACCCCATCACATTGTCAAGAAACTACAGTTTATGTACGATAACAGTTTGAGAAAGCGGCCAGACGAAAGGAAGGGAACACAAAATCATTACAAGAGTAAACTCACACGCTGCATGTCCTGCATCCTGTTTCTCACGTTGGCCATAACGTTGTCAAACATGCTGAAAGGGTTCCTCATTATGTCCTGCACAAACACAAGAGGAAAAGAATAGCCAAAGGCTACAACTGGGACATTCACATTTTAGCACTTCACCATGTGTGAGCTAGTGGCATACAGTACACAGCAAAATTAGAAACCAAGTCCAGCATGCAAACACACACAGTGTTTATGTCTTTGTTTATGGGTTTTCCTTCACGGAGAATTTAAAGATGGCCAACCTTCCAACTCTGTGCTGCCTTTAAAAAGACCTGACCATGTTGTCAATAATTGTCAACAAATTTAACATTTAATGGATAAGATGATCTGGAACAAATCTTACTTGTATTATTTGTTGACAACCAGGTAAACTGTATTCAAAAAACACATTTAATCACTGTCATTATTATATAAATGCAGAACACTTCGTGGAGGAACATCTGTAGGTAACTGCTTAGGAGCTTCATTTTGAGCCAGGAAAAACCCTGTACACCACTCAGTGTATCATGCATGTTACCATGAGATGCCATCAATCACCACACATTCAAAATTTCAGATGTTCTTATTCTGTAAGGGTGCAGCCAGGTACTGCAGATCAGTATGGTTGCATCAATGGAAGTCTTTGGACTAAGAATAAGAACCACGGCTAAACTTTTCAAAAGTCGCTAAAGAGATCATCTTTATCTTGTCAGAAGAACAAGAGTGATGATGTTGCAGTTGACAATAGTTACATATTAGATACAGTATTATAGCAAACCTGAGAAAACAACCCACTGGTCATTCCACATTCTGGCCACAGTGTTTCCACAAGAATTATATGTTATACTCATGGTATAACATATACTAATTTTTTTTCACATTTAAACTTAATGGCCCATTATACATGTATACAGTATACAGGCATATGTATGCTTGTAAAGCAATTCTGCCCCCTGGACTACACTAACGAATTAACCAACCTTTAAAAAAAAATCTCATCATGGTCTGAGGGCAGGCACTTTAACATGCCTGACGTTTCTTGTACCTGCAAAAATCCTGGTATAAAGATTCGCCAGTTACAGTAGATGATATAGGTAGACCCATGGAAAGCTATTGTTTCAATTTCAGTTGGATCCCTTGTTTTTCCTTCAGCTGATAATAAAAATACTGTATATATCTTGGTGAAAACTTCTGCTTTATGTAAGGAGTTTGACTTAATGTTGGATATTGTGTGTGGGCGTTGTCAATTCCCAAATCAATGACTATGTAATCAATCAATCAGTTGTCTGGGAAATATAAGTAACCTCACTTACTACTTCACCCTTAATCTCTGTGGAGAGACCAAGCTTTAGTACAAACACTGTTTAATGTTTTACACATAGAATTTTATCCTACACAGTTCAAACACTATGGTTGCTACTATACTAGTGTACTTTAACAGTCTACACATCCAGTGGGTGAAGTGTTGATGGCCTCAAAGAATATAGGAAAGAAGTGAGTAAAGTTCCAGTTAGGTTTCCAGTTAAACAATACTGCCACTGAGTAAAAATTATGCTTTGTTGGCAATATGATAATGGGAAATAACATAGTATTGTATACATGGATTGGCATAATGGTGTAAATTTGGAGTGAATGTACTGGAAACACTGTGACCACTTTACTGACTGTTCCTAGTCAAATATTAATGGAGAGGATCAATTATGGAATAAGAGCATGCACTTGGTCAGTATGGCTTTAAATAAGAAACTCATGTGATAGTGTAGTTGGACACAAGAGACACAACTCTACTGACCGTGCTGTCAGTACCGCCAAAGGGCAACAATGACCGGCTCATATCCTGAGAATTCAAACAATATCATTTTAGCAACACATCATGGTATTGTATCTGTATAGCATGGTACATACACAAACAGACACTACACGCGCATGTGCACACACACAAATCATGTAGACTTCTTGCATGTTTGTTGAGGTTCTTGTCGGTTAAGTTGTTAGGTTGTTTTACATTGGTCACTAAGCCCTTGACGCAGCTACAAAGAGCTCTCCACATGACCTTATGCACAACCCTTCAAGGCCATGAACCCTCTGGGAGTGCAGGCACCAAGGAGTGAAAGGCCAGTGAGGAGGGAGCAGCCTGCAGCCTTCAGTCAGAACCTGTGTTCTCTGGGCCAAAACCGCAGGTGTTTATGACCCTGCGGCCCTGGATAAGCATCTCAACAGCCATCACTATGTATGTGTGTGTGTGTGTGTGTGTGTGTATGTGTGTGTATTTTCTGGGGGTGTGATTCGCAGGGGTATTGTGCATAATCAGTGGGGTGTTGAATGACTTGTGTTCCATGTGTAATTGGGTCGCATTGCCGGGGATTAGCGTGGGTTTAACACTGAAACTGAGCTTCATTCTAGGAAGGCTGCAGTGGGCTGGGTGGACCAACCAGGACAGGGATCTAACAGGGGGTCGCAGAGTCCAAGGCTGCTCTCTCAGTTCTTTTCAAAGGTCAAGCTGATGTAAAACGCTCCTGACCAGCATCTATGAAGCCTCACAGCCAATTTTATCCCAGAGTGGCATCTATGAACTAATAAATGCCAGTTACATATCTGCCAGCATTATATTTAGACTGGGGTTGTGCAGAGGAGAGAGAGTGCAAAATAAGCAACATAGACCCGGCGGTCTTTAACACATTATTTTAGGCTGTCTGGACTACTGCAGATTGGCATTCTTTTTTCTATCTCTCTCTCAATCTGATACAGAACCTGCCACTGTGGCCTCTGAGGCAGGCTGCTCCTGCTCCTGGGGGAGCTATGGGTTACACCATAGGGGACATGTACTGTAGATATGATTCATACATAAAAGGAAAAGTGAAGTTGTGCTGCAAATGCCTAGTTCCTGGGAAATGGAGCATCACTAGGGAGTTAGAGACATTTTGTAAAAAATTGTGCTCTTAGAACCAGAATACCACAGAGAAGATAAGGAGGTACTGAATCTGATTGTGGCGACTGATGTTTTTAAAGCTTCTGTAGGTGAATAAAAGGTTTAGCAAATGCTGAATTTCACACTACCTCTGCAGCAGGAAATGCTGTCATAATTCTACAACAAAGATGATATCAGCTCTACCTACAGCCACCAGCCTTGCTCAGTACAAACCACAGAATCAAAGAAAGCAAATCTAATGTATAATGAAGCCTGATTGTCATTCACCAGTACTTTTATAAACAAGTGCCCAGATGAATGAGCACGCTGAAAGGTGATATGAACCAGGTAGTGGATATTGGCAAGAGGCTGGGAAATGTGAGCACCCATAACAGGCTTGGAAGGTAAGACAGGGCTTATTCTCCCAGTGGGAATCTAATGCTTAGCAAGTTAATACAAGAAGTACAAGCCTTTCAGCATTATGTGTGTGCATTTCAATGTGTGTATACGAGCATGCCAGTGTGTCTGTTTTGCATGCTGTGACTGTGTGTAATTGTGGTTGTGACAATGTTTTAATACAGTATGTGTGTGTTTATTTATGTATTTTTGTGTGAACATTTGTGCCTATGATATTGGAGAGCAGTATGAGAGTGAGCTGTCTGTCATCTAGCTGCTAATGCACCAGCACTGCCAAGGCACGTTCTGCGAAACAGATGGACCAAAGGAGCAACAATGAGAAAACAGAGTGTCCATGACATCCATACGCATGCCTTTACAAAGCCAACAACACAGCACCAGAGCTACAGCTCTCTGACCACTGCTGGGCACTACAAGACTGATCCTTATCTTCTGAGAAATGTGCATGAGAACTGTGATAAAATCGGTGGATTGTTATGGTAATACAGATAGCAGTAATTCCATGTATCTTACTATACCTTGGATTTTCTGTATGTTGTTTGTGACTGAAGATGATTGAAACATGCACTGAAACAGAACATTACTCCTAATATTAGATTAAATAATTTGTTTGCATGGAGATTTTACAGCGTATCTCCATTTCACCCCCTATCACTGAGGTCATTAGTCAAGTACTCAGAGCCCCTCCTCAGCTGGCATTAGCTAGTTAATAGAATGATGCTAATAAAGAGAAAGCAGGTTGCTGGCTATTGAGGCTAGGCTTCTGATGAAAGTCATTATCAAGGATAAATATACAGGCTCTCATGAGGTAGTGGGATTAAAGCAGGTGACAGAGACTAAATTTGACTTAGCAGGGATAAATAAGCAGTGGAGGGGTCGATCTGGGAAAGGTTAACGGGTGCAATATGGCAGACCAAAGCTGCCTACCTGACTTTTCCTTACAAGTCTGCACAACTAACAACAAATTGTTCCAGAGTAAACAACTGCTCCAGCAGTACTTTCTAACCATCATACTTTGAGCACATATTGCAAATCCATGGATTTTTCCAGCCTTATTCTCACCTAATGTAACAGTGTGTGAAAATCAAAGACTTATAGGGAAGCAGTTATATTTGAAGACAAACTATATTTTAAGTTAACATGACAACTAGGCCAACTAGAATCATATCAAAATAAACTGTTATTTTCCGCAGCAGCTCATCTCAGCAGAGCAAAGCACAATTCTCTGGGGTACTATTGGTGCGAGTGTTAAAGAAGTCTGTACGTGTATTTGCAAGAAAGCAGTGTGTCAGTGGAACAATGCACTATAAATAGGGCTCCTCAGGGCTAGATATAACTGTCCAGAGAGGCCAAGGGGGTTGCCCTTCCTCTAAACCAGAGACTCACATGGCCCCATACCTCAGTGAGTGGTGCTCCAGTTACGCTGCCAGTGGCCAGCCTCCACTATAACCTTAGTAAACTTAGCACTTGCTCCAAACACTAATCATCTGTGGTTATAAACCCATGAGCTGTGGACAGACTGGGTCGTAAGGTGCATGAGGAATCTGCTGAAGCTGGGGCTTCATCCCTTACAGATATACATGAAGGTTAGTCAGTAGTGTATATATACACATATGGAAACTGTAACACACCCGGTTGAGCTTTATTACCTATTACTTGAGTCCACAAGTAGAAAAACAACTCAACACTGTAAAATGAGTGCTTCTCGAATTGAATGTTCTCACCCTGTGTTCATCCCTCAGCCCCACGGATGAGCTTGGATATTCTGCCATGTCGTGACCACGGCTTCTCCCATCCATTATGCTGGGCATTAATGGCCCGCCGAATGGCTCAGAGAAACTACGCATCATCTGCCGCATATGTTCCCTGTGAGCCCGGAATGGATCCCTATTGGAGAGGAAGAGGAAGTAAAGACAATGTGAACCCCAGCATTCAATCAGAAATTCTTAGTAAAGCCCTGCATGATGATGCAGACTACTGCAAACCATTGTTAAAGTCCTTGGAGATTAAAAATAAGGATGAAAATGTCTTTACAATAAGCACTCAATTCAATATTTGAGAATGACTCAGACATCTTATGCCAGCTTGGAGCTCATTAAAGATAAATTCTTCAATGAACACAACACACTGAAATAAGAAGCACCCCTAAAATAATTTCAGCCACCCTTACACTTGCCTTGGTCAAGTGTGGGCACACTAACTCAGCAGGTGTTCACTCATGCAACAAGCCAAAGTGAGTGTAGCACATAGTGTCAGTCCCTAAACTGCACTGGGAACTCTGTTTCTACAAACTGTACTCTTTATTTCTTTTCTAAACTGATACAAACCTGTACATTTAAAGTACATGGATGGACACATAATAATAAAGTAAAACTTTTTATTCACCTTTTAAGATTGATTTTAAAAGTATATCATTACATAAAACTCTGTCTGTCCTTACACTATGAAAAAAATGCTAATGCCAAAAGGTAACTGAAGCAGCACTAATGTACCTGTTATTTAAATCCAAACATTCATGTTGAAATTCAATGAGGATTGACAGATTATATAACCACTCTTAAATTTGCTAGTAACATGTTATGTGTAGGAAACCACATTTTATTATTTCAAGTTACAAATCTAGTTAGTGTTAAACAAGGTTTAGGTCTGATATCTGTCAACGGCCGGTTTTAATAAAAATGATAATTAAAAGTGAAGCTAAATTTCTGGTTATTTACGTTTGTTAAGTTTTAAGTTTGTGAGCATACTTTGGAGTTTTGTTTGTCCCATTGATAAACGCCTTCTGATCTTAGTTTAACTGATGCATTATGAAAACAAACGCTAACAACCTAAATTGCAAGCTAAACATTCTTAATAAGTCATTGTTAATAGATTTAAAACATTTCTGCTACTCACGAGAAGAACGGATCCTCATCAAAGTCCCTGAAATTACTATTGAACATTTCCACGGATTTTGAAGCTGTAAACAAAAGTCTGAGATAAGGATTTTCAAAAAATAATCCGTGTCTGCCACAGGTGTCAGGGCTCCGCCGCTCAACCCCGGTAACGTTACTATGGAGGCTGTGGAATTCAAAGTCATTTAGAACCACTCTGACATGGGCCATGTGATGAGAATCCGGTCCTCGGATTGGCTGGTTATTCGGAGCGTCGAACAGTTCTATTCGCGCGCTGTATGTTGTGGTTGGCTGCCAAGGCAACGGCACTCCAGAAATTTCTTTAAAATCTCCAATTTTCTTGTCTTGCTTGTGCATATCACCACAAAATTGGCAGTGTTCTTCTCCAACATACCCTCACAGGACCCCTGTAAAATATATGCAGCTAGTACAAGTTCATAACTGCAGAAATATCAATGGGTTTTAAAGGATACATTCACAAAAATTCACCTCAAAGATAATCTGAAGCAATAGGCCTACGAGGCTTCAGCAGTCTGAGTTAGACAGACTTTTTGTCACTAATCCTCCACTACAGTTTAGCACGTTCACACTTTCTATGGAAACACAAAGATGGGAATTTTGTACTAAAAAGACTAACTTTGGTAGATGATGAGTTCATTTGTCTAGCTAACTGGCTTCAAATCAACTTTGAAATAAACTTTGAAATATATTAGACAGAAAAACGACTGGATATTGTCTCCAATCCTTTACACTGAAAGCACATTAAGAGGTGATCTTTTAATAGCCAGTATAAACAGGGGGAATAATTACTGCAAGAGTAAAACTTTTTCATGTGGACAGGTTGAACCTATCATTTAAAATGAAGAAGAAATCACATGATGTTCTCTAGTATTGAATTACTAGACTTTTGTTTCTGAAGTGATTCTAATTCTAGGGTGTGAAGACGTTTGGGAGAGCAACCTGACACGTGTGAGGAGGGCATACACACAAATTTCACTCACTCTAAGCAAGCACTCACACAGCAAAGCTTAATTTGTGTGCTTGCCTTTGCAAATCATTTGTGCACTCTGATTCATTATTTCATTACAACACTGACTATTTGGAGAGTGCAGGAGTGAAACACAGTGTCCCAGACTCAGTATAGATTTACCATCTGGCTGTTCCACAAATAGGTCTGAGTGTGGACTTGACACTGCTTTGAATCCCTGCTCAAACTGCGACAACACTGAATAAACATAAACATAAACAAAATCAATCAATAGTATAAATATTTAAGAGAACAGAAGTTTAGAGCAGGTGAGAAGACGTTTACTGCAGTCTAATGTCAATCCTGATGCAGACCAAAGAGATAAGGTTACCTCAGGATGAGTCAGACTGCTTTTAGTGAGCTACTGTATGGCAGGGCGACTCATTTATATATATCTATCTGGAGATAGCGCTGATATCTTACATAACAAGTGTCACAAGTTTATCACCATAATTCACCCACAAAAGCACAAGACAGTTTTCACTCAAAAAAAAAAAAAAAATCACAGCTATCTTTATTAACTGAGTTTATTACAAAAGACAAAAATGTATCAAATTCTACATCTACATGGTAAAATTTATCACTTAATCTGACTGTTAGATCTCCATTAAAAATAAATGAAGCTAATTAAAGAACAGCAGATTGACTGAATTCCATTAACATTACTAAAAATAATAAGCACATCAGGACCAAAAACCTTTCATTTGCTCAAATTCTCACAAGTGTTTTACAACTGGTCAGAGAAATTATTGGAGGGGTAAAATAAGAAACATTATGATGGCCTAAAACTAGACAGATTATGACAGGGATTGAGACATAATAAAAGCAAACTCAAATGATTGAATGAGGTGTAGATCTGGATTGAATGTGTCTAGGAAACAGGAAAGATGTTCTGAGTTTCTGGTGTCTTTCAGGTCACAGGACTTCCCATGAGCCTCTCCTGTCGCAGCGAGACCAGGCGGTTCAGCCACAGCTCCTCTGCTTTGTCCTTGTCCATGAATAACTGCAGGAAAACATACAGAGGACATGTGAATACGCAGAAAGCAGACAAAAACAAAAATGTAACAATCTCTATCTTTAAAGACTTTTCTTCTGTAATTTTGGGATATTGCACTCCAAAAAAAAAGTGGCTGCTCAGTCCTACCTTCCTAAACATCCAACATCCAGAATGTGACAGAAATGAACGAGCTATGTTTCCTTGTAAGTTTATGAGCCTGGCACAGAGTTGTCAGTACTGCCCACTGACACCCATGTGACCTCAGTGTGGAGTCACAGCACTGGCATGAGTGAAGTCTGTGGTATCTTACATGTCATCTTTGTCTTTTCTTATCTTCTGACTTCAAAATGCACATGAGAAAAACTTTTATTGTATAACTCATGTAGTTATGTGGGCCTAGAAGTGTGTTAGACTGGTGGCAGAAGGGCCCTACACATATGACTTGTATTCATGGCAGTACATCACCAGCAGTAATGATATTGATTGTAAGAGGGCTATAAAACTGCTGCTGCAAGTGTCTGATGAATGAAGGCATCTGTTTATTAGGAAGAAACATAATGACTATGAGATTGAGAAGCAAGGCACCGAGACATAGGGAAAAAAATTGGAAGATCATTTCTATATTCACTGTGTGCTTGTGTGAGGGGTGAGAGATAATGTTGATATGCTGGCTATGTGTATGTACTGTACATCTATGTGATGATACATGTCTATTATTATGCAGATTGTAGAGCATCCCCGGCCACGTCAATCCTTCATTGTTAACCTACGCTGCTTACAGCTGCACTGCATGTTATCTGTGTGTTAGATTCAACACCAGTGAGTTCTTGTCTGTCAGCCCCGCACTGGTGTCATGGTGCTAATGAGGCTGTGTGTGTGGGATGACAGTATCTGGGCTGGGCTAATGGGACTCATCTGTTCTAATTGGAAGAGGAGCTAGAGCTGGAGCTGGGGCCGGGGCCTGCCTGGGGCATATTGCTGCCATACATCAGCCTGTCTGAGGTTGTGTATGCGTGTGCATTTGAACTGGGGGATGGTGTGTGTATGTAAGAGTGTGTGTGTATGTGAGGGGGTTATCTGCATACGTCAGTGCATAACTTAGTTTCCCCAGTGGAGATAGATGACTGGGAAGCCCCAGGGAGCATTATTGGAGTTTAAAGTTTTCCTTCTTGTTTTTCATCATTGGTCTGCAGGCACGGGAGGAGGTGACGTTAGGAGGCTATAATCTGCTATACTGCATTGTCCTATATGATACAATGCACAGTATCAGAATGTGCAGGAGTGGTGTAAATAGTGGTGGCGATGTCAGTAAAAGCAGAGGTATTTTTAAAAGGAAAAAGTTTACAAAGTTTGTCCACCAATCAATGAAGGTAAGCACCATACTTGTAAAAAGCTGGCAAAACCAAAAGATAAAATCATAAGAAGCAAGGTCAACTTCAGCTGTGCTTGAGTGTTGCAGAGTGCTCATTGGCTCAGAGGGTTTTAAAAAGTCTTTGTGATAGAACTTCAGGACGGCTTGGTGTGATGTTGAAGCGAACAGAAAAATCCAAACCTTACTGTGAAAGGGTTTTCCAGGTGAGAACTTACACTGGGATGGGCGAGTGTGTCAGTGTCGTTATAGACTATGGACATGGGAAGAGTTACATCCTGAGAATCTGCCCTCTCTGGCTCCTGCTTCACCTCAGCTGGCTCAGTCTGGATTTGCAGAAATACACAAAACATTCAAAAACGTCACGCTCATTAAATAAGCACATTCAAGTATTTAATATAGGTTTTACAATACTGAAACAGAGACATTATAAAAAAAATAAGCATATAAATGATAGATACAACTAATAAATTGCGAAAGCAAAATTTTAAAAAAGAAAAACATGTAAGAATATATTATCCAAAGCAACAACAGTGCTAATATAAACATGGTTTTATTGTTTGTAGTGTTATCAAATGACCACATAAATGGTATGTGCGCAGGAAGACAAATATTTCTCTCCCTCAAAATGACAACATCTTATTCCCAATTCCATACTGCATAATAATGCTCAGGTGTTGAGTATGTAGTGTGTCCACACTGGAAAAGTGACAAAATTAACCATACTGAAAACAGCCAGTATGCATACTAACAACTCCTGATCGCGGTTTTTGAGCGCGCTCCTGATTTAATCAATTGTTTCACAAAGCAAAAGGAAATGGAGGCGCTACTCTGCATTTTGATGGATGTCTTCAAGCACATTGGTGTAAAACATACATGTACACTGATTGCAAGCACTGAAAAACATACTAAAGGCAATCCATATATTACATACTATATACTGTATTACAGGAATTGTGAAATGCAATATGACATTTGTCCAACAGATGGCAGTGAAAGATAGGCCTTTGCAGTAAACTTGTGGACAGCAGAACTGATAGTGATCAGTTTGTATCCTGAAATGTATTCTTATGTATATCTCACTCAGTTCATCTATGTATGTAAGAAAACATGAGACTATCAGCAATATACTGTATTTCCCCTTCCCTACCTTGTATTTTGTGAGTGATTCTCGTTGGGCTAAACCACCAGCTGCAGTGTGAGAGGCCTGGCTTCACTGTATAAGGTCTTCTTCATGTTAGTGATTACTGAAGCTATAACTTGTGAATATTAAAATATTCAAACACTTGGCAGAATCAGCATTGTGACAGGTCAACTTCGTCAGTTGAACAGCAACATTAACCACATTTTGTTACAGTTACAGCCAAAGGATTTTTTCTGAAAAGGACTTTAAGTGAAGATGAAGGCTCTCTGCCCTCCTCATGCTGCCATCTGTAGAGTCCAAGCTGATAGCAGGGAATATGATACTTAGAATGATTCTTCCTCCATCCCTAGAGCTATGACTTAAAGCTATAATAAGCCCCGTGTTTGGACGGATGGCCCGTTTGCCTTGTTGTACTTGATGAGGAAGAAATAACAAAATGAACACTTTGCCAAGTTCATTCATGTTTCAAACACTCCTAATACCAGCCCCAGAGCAAATGTTTACCCAGTTGGAAAAATCTATTTAAAATTCATTGGGCAGGATACAAAAAAGTGAGTGGGATATAAAACACTCTAGCTAATAAGTATGGTGATGTGCCAAATATCAGATAGCATAAATGGCTATTACAATTCTTGGAAATGATTTGCTGAATATACATTTCTAATGAATGCAGCTCCCTTGAAGTAGAAAAAAATCTTAAAAGATATACAGTACTGTGGCAGATACTAAAGGTTTCACTGGCTCCTCCTCATTAACAGTTGCTTAAACATCATCCAGTCACAACTCATAGCTAAATAGTTATAAATACTAAAACCAAATAAACCTTATACATATATATTCTCAGACAATAACATGTTCAAAAAGGCAAGCTCATTCTGTTATTTTGACACCATTTCATTAAAAGAGGTTTGTTTAATTATCAGTTTCTTGAAATAACAATTTACCCAAAGATGTATATTATAGGGTAGTCAATGTTTACATGTTTTTTTGGCGATTATTCATTCTGGCCAAGGATGTGATATTGCTAAAAGACTCTGAAAGACTATGCAATCCTCCTAACTAAACATGAATCGTCTAGATATCATAAGTAATATTTGACTAATGACGAGGACGATACCCAAGAGATTACTCTGAAAACCAGTGAAGAGCTGCTATTAAAAAAAAAAAGAAAAAAAAAGTAAACTTGAAATTGTGTATCATTACAGCACTTCTGTGCATAAAAGAGAAACTGATTAAAATACTGCAGAACTGTGTCCCTTTGTTTTACGTAATGTTGTATTTTCTTTGAAGAATTTTTAAATTATTCCATTTTTCTTTATTATGTTTTATGATGTGATTTTACAGTATATATCTAACTTTATACACATGAGAACACACTTGACAGGTAATATTTCCCATGTAGAGATCCAATGTAGGTGTGAACAATGAAAGATACTACCCAACTGCATTAGTGAATCTGGTAAAGTTGGGGGATCAATGTGTGAATGTGGCTTTATACTGAGAAAGAGAAAGCAGAGTGTACTGTGCATATGCAATCTGTGCAGTATGTCCAGGCCAGGACAGACTGGATTAGTCCAGTCCAAGCTGCAGCCACACGGGTCTTGACCTTTGTCAGACTCACCGAGACGTGTCCCAAAAGTCTGTGTAGGTCTGCTGTCACATGTTGTCGCCTATCTTTTCAAAACAGCCATGAGCCCCAACAAATCTAATTCCTGCTCCTTCAGAGACAGCAACATTTCAATAATGACTTCTGTGTTTTGTCTGCATCTGCACAACCAGAGGGGGGAGAGAGAGACAGAGGATGGCTGTTGCCTGCTGTGGCTTTTGTGTGGGTGCTGTTGCTTTGGAGGCGGCGAACAGTGGAGCGTCTGATGAAACCGTCTCAGGTCGGAACAAACAGCGCTGAATGGGAATGTTTGATTTGGTCTGGGCTGTCTCTGGACAGACGGCACAGCATTGCAGAGAGGGAAATTCAATAAGAGACAGAGTGAAAAGACAGAGAGAGTGAGGGGAAAGGGGAGAAAGAGAGACAGAACGCACCTTTATATCATCCCTGGATGATTTGAAAGCCTGAGGAACAAAGGAATCACTCTCGATGGCCTCAATGTCCTTTATCCTTCGCACTTGCTCCTCCAGAGAAGTTCCCTCTGAAACACATGTTACACAGAAGGGAAGCTATGAACAAAAGCAGGCACACACATATGAACACAGGCACACAGAGGGTCAGCCTTCTCTTGTCATGTTCTGAAAGGCACCAGATTTCATTTGGACTGGGCTTAGTTGATTGTATGTTCTCTCTGTGTATAATGTTATTTGACACTTACAATATGAAATATCTGATATTCCCCTAGTTTAATCTTGGCTCCCACGAAAATAACTCTTGCTAAACCAAGGGCATGGAGTTAGTACAGAAGGTAAGTGGAAAAAATACTAACAAGATAATAGCCAGACAGTGAATTACACTCAGATAATGCATTCTAAAATAATCAAAATATGAACACAAACTCACTGCAATGAAATTTCATTATGGAGGCTAAATGTGATTAGGTTTCATACAGTTTTCATGTATCAGAAAGTATTTTGCTCTGGCTTGGCCCATCAAACAAAAAGACAGAAAGGGTTTCCAGTAAATTACTCTTGGATATAAACACATCAGGATTCTGCATATCAGATAATAAATCATTTCAAGAATTCAAGAGCAGTCTTCGTAGCGTAGGAGGGCAAAAATAGGTGTGCCAGGAAAGTTAGCAACAAGAAAAAAAAGACAGAGTCTGAATGCTCCCATTATTCTCTGGCTGTCAATCTTTCCACTGATCAGTCAATATTCATCCCTCTCTCCCCCATCCATCCGTCCTCTCCTGCACTCTCCCATCTCTCTATCTGTCAATCCAGCAGACATCCATGTTTCTCTGCTCCACTGATGTAGGCTGTGTCATGAAAACAAGTACACAAATGGGAACACACACACAGACACACACACACAGACACACACACACACACACACACACACACACACACACACACACACACACACACACACACACACAAAAAGAACAACGGCATACAAGTACTCCCACATGTACATGTGTTTGCAAACTTACATACTTAGCACTCATGGTTCACATAAATCCGTATACGCACTCGCACTCACACATGCACACTCACACATGCACACACACACGCACGCACGCACTCACTCATTGCTTGCAACTGGAGCTAATAGCAGGAATTAATTCAATCCATTAGCAGCTACAGAAAGGGTGTCACAACACATCTTCATGGCCTTGGTGTTTAATGAATAAATGAATATTTGTTCCTGCTTTCACAGCAAAGCATCACATGCTTTCTCTCTCTCTCTCTCTCTCTCTATCTCACACACACACACCAAAGGCACACACACCCTATTATAGTTCATAATAGCACTCAAACAAACTCGGTTTTGATTTAAATGCACTGCAGAATTGGACAACTGAGTGACAAGTGGAATTAAGCCTTCCTATATGACAGACTATCAGCTTGTCATCCAGTGCGGGAAGATGTGAGCAGAGACGCATTGCACAGCGGCTCCAAAAA